AGGGGAACTAACAAAGGGAACTAACCAACAGTTTTCTACAGTTGATTTAAGACCATTTAGAAGTATGTCTTTCAGTTAGCTCTAGATTTCTGAAGAGTCAGGGAAGGAAGGAAGGGAGGGAGGAAGGAAGAAAGGAAAGAAAGGAGAGAGGGAGAAAGAATGGACCTTGGTGTGACCACTGGCTCTATAGTTGGAGAATGTGTGTTCATATCATAGTACTTGTGTGGCTTTGGACAGCTTACTTAATATCCCTAGGCCTCAGTTTTCCTACCTGTAAAATGAGATGTTTAACTAGATAGTAAGTCTATGACCCAATGATCTTGTCCCTTAAGTTTTAGGTGGACAAAACTTTGGACTCTATTAATAAATGGCCACATTTACATGACAATTTACATATAAGTCTTTCCAATAAATTGCCTGATTTCAACTTCTAGGCAACCCTGTTGAGAGAGATTATCCTTATTTTTGAGATGAGGACATTGAGGCTGCAAATTATAATGATTCAAATGAAGGCCACCTAGATTCTAAATGGTGGAGCCAGGACTCACATAGTAGTCTTGTGTCCCCAAATCCATTGCATTTTGCTTCTATATAAGCTCATTCATATATACTAATTGAGAGCTTGGATATTGGTTTGTTTGTCTAATGGAATGGAAAATTAGAAAAGAATAGATTCCTGTTTAGCCTCCGAAGTAATCATTAAAAAACCCCTACATATGTCAGTGCCTTTTCAGTTATGTCTGACTGTCCATGACCCCATTTGTCATTTTCTTGACAGAGATACTGGAATGATTTGCCATTTACTTCTCTAGCTCATTTTGCAGGTGAAGAAACTGAAGAAAATGGGGTTAAGTGACTTGCCCAGGATCATATAGCTAGTAAGTGTCTGAGGTGGATTTGAATTCCTATCTTCCTGATTCCAGGCCCAGAACTCTATCCATTTTACCATCTAGTCATCTAGAGGTCAGTGCCTGCTTGTCTATATTAATAGAGAGGAGATTAAGTGTGGAGAATTGGAAAAAGGCTGTTTCACTTTAGTGTAGTACTCTAATAGATGCTAGTTGGATGGACACAGTCACAGAAGCAGAACTGTTTTGATTTTTGTTTTTAATGTGCTCTTGGTCAGCACTATTCTTCATAGGCTAGGATAATTGAGAACCGACTTGAATATGGAGTTTTATTGGTTAGTTTATTAAAATATAAATTATCTTTAATTGTATCCCATACCATTGAAACTGCACAAATACAAAGGGTCAAAATATGGGCAAGGTGATAAAAGAGTAGCACTTCAGTAGCATGTCATATTTCCTAGTAAAGCATTCTTCATCTTTTTCTGCCCAAATTCCCTTATATTTTTTCCCATACATGTTGTATATGATTTTAGTTGCTATACATGTTTTCTTGGATGCTATAAAAGCTTTTTAAGTGCAAAGACTATTTCCTTTTTGGTTTTCTATCCCTTGCTTTCCTTTGAAAAGTATTTATAATGATCATGTTGGTTTTACTACTACTACTGCTACTACTAATGTTGCTGCTGCTATAACTTCTATGCTGCTGCTGCTGCTACTACTACTAAGTGAATCAAAAGATTTTAAAAGCATCTTAATGAAAACCTATTCAATATTAATAATCCAGATATCCCATCAAACTAAGGTAGCTATAGAAATAACAATTGTTCACCAATAAGAGAGAAGATTGATAAACATTCTTAGAGTATATGATAAACAGGTAAAAAAAGGCATAGAAATAGAAATACTTCTGGAATAAGCAGATATCTAAAGGCCAATGATATACCATTGTCTAATTTAACTGAAAATTACATCCTAATAGAGCTTATAAGGTTACTGAATTCCAAGAATGGCATCCAAAATCCTTCTATCGATCACAGATATCTTCATGAATTCAGGAAAAATATAATGGCAAAGAAAAATTAAACTAATGACTGAACCATATGGATTTCTTTGTGGTATAAAGTTTGTACCTGTCTGAGCATAAAGTTGAGGGGGAAAAAAAGCCCAACAGGGGAGAGGGAATTTCCCATTTCTATCATACACCTTTGGAATGTGGACAGTGCCAGTTAAGAACAACCCTACCTTTTCTCTTCTCATTAGACAGTTCCTTTTCCCTAGTTACCAACCAGTACTCTACCACTACAGAGAACTTTCTCTGAAAATGTAAAGGGGGAGGGGAAAGATGAGTGAGTGAAACCATGTCATCTTCATTATTGTCATTTTCATCATTATTAATGACAACAACATTAACATTTATTCCAAACTTACTATGTGCCAGCCACCATGCTAAGCACTGGATATATTGTAGCCTTGGCCCATTCAGCAAAATGGTGCTCTGAATCATTTTAGCTTGAAGGATAAAAGGTTTATGTTTAAGGAGCCCAGACTTAATGATCAATGTAGACTGTCCAAATAAATGATGGAAACTATGCTATATCACTGCAGACTATAAACATTTAGCAACTATTGCACACTTGAAAAGATATGCCCTGGTGGCTAGTATTATTCATCAGAAGCTGCTTGCTTTCTTTATTAGACTAACAGATGACAAATCCCCATACAATAACTGGGATCTGAAAATATCCCAGTGAACCCAACCAACAAACTGTACTGGATCTGGACCATAATCAGAGAAAAAAATTGTGTCCACAATAGTATGGACATAACATTGATCCATTTAAAAAAAAAACAACCTTATTTTACATTGAACAATTTTAAAGGATTTCCTACTAATACATTTTGTTTTTACATCACCAGCATTTTAGTAGCTCACACTATCCCAAGTAGTTATAATCTGTAAGTTACATGAAATGAAAATGTTTCAAAGTATAAAGACTTAGCAGAGGAGATCAGAGCCATGTAGGAACAAGATGAGATATTTAACCATGCCATCCCTGTTGACCTGTTTGCTACTGGAGCTGCTTTGAAAATATTTTCAGTGAATCTACAACCCAGTATGTTCAGCCCAATGCTTTTATCCCTCAACAAGAAGCCATTATTTTAACCACCTATCAAATAGCCCATCAAACATTAAAGATAAAAGAATATTGGCAGAATGGTAACTTGTCCCATGATTTTTCTATCTGAACCTCATGGAACAAAGAAGAATGAGATAATAATAATTCTAATAAGAACAACGGTTATAATAACAAGAAAAATGCTCATCTCTGTGATATTTTAATGTTTGTACAGCATTTCCCTCTGAGGGATTTAGAGCATGCTACCTACATTTTTGCAAATTGGGGCTGGATTTGTAATTTCAGTGGTAGAGAGAATTTCCAGTGAAGAAATTCCCTCTATCAATGTAGGTGAGTGCCTTAACAGCAATTTGTCATCTTAGAGAATTGCATAGAGCATTGAGAGATTAAGTGACTTGCCCAGGGTCACAGAGTCAGTATATGTCAGGGACAAGACCAGCTCTTCCTGGTGTTGAGGCCAGTCCTCTATCTACTCTACTTTGCTGCTTCTTTTAGAGGAATAATAAATAAATAGATATTTATATTACTGCAAATCTCTTTAGGTCCATTATATAATTGGAGATAAGCCACAATTCAGCATGGTAGGCAACATAGACCCTTACAGAAGAGGAAACAGGCTCAGAGATTTGCCCAAGGTCCCGCAACTAATAATGTCTGGAGGTTGGAATGTGTGGGAGGATTGCAGATCTTAATGCTGGTCTTCCTCGCTTTAAGCTTAGTACCCTATGATAGCTAGATCTGGATTCATTTAGCACCAGAAAGGAAATGGAATAATTCAAATATTAGACCAATCCACATAGACTAGGCATTACGGATACCTATTCACAAGTCTCTCTCTGTTAGGAACTGGGTATGTATGAGAAGAAGGTAGAAATGATTTTGGCAAAGTTAATATTTTGAACATTAATTTAGCAGATGGGATTGAACACCCTGTCGATATGAAATAAAACAAATAAATATGAAACATTAATTCTGGTTCTTAACATGTGAAGATTATAGGAATTCTGGTTGTCATCTAACTTTATTTGACAACCAGGCATTAATACTACACTTCCCCCTCCCAAATTGCTCTTCTAACTGAGATTTCAATGATATGGTATCAATTAGTTGATCCCATACCTTTACCTTTCCATCTTTTTTACTGTCTCACTGCTGCTCAATACTTTAATCTAATTGTGTCACCATGGTTAGTTTTGCCCTGGATTGTCTCATTATGTTGAGGACCTTCAGAAGCACTGTCAATTTCTGTGCATTTTTCTTCCTTATCTATGCCTCTATTCCTTGGTTTACTTGAGGTTTCCCAGAACCATGTTTTCACTTGAATTACATTCTTGGCCTTCTGTTCCTATCAAATTTCCTTCTCCCTCTCTCTTCTTTTTGTCCCCATCTTCACAAGATTGTACTAATTTCATCATCATTATCATCATCATCATGCCCACAATACAGTTAGTTCCTCAACATTCTTAGAAGTGGAAGTAAAGGCAAATGTATCACATCTAGTGAGCGCAGGCTATGATACTGAAAAGGAGTGATGGCAGTGAGAAGAAAGCAGAAGATCAGGTGGGTGTTTATTTCTGGGGTTGTGAGAACATCTTCTTTATGTTGCCTATTTGGGAAGAATGTTCTCTTTTCATTTGTGGTACAAATTTGTTACTTAGGCCACTGGCCATACTATCAACAAATAAGGGTTTTTTTTAAAATAAGAATTGTAACAACTATTAAGAAATTTGGTAACATTTTTTATGTAATTATTTATGTATTTGGAAAGGAAACTACTTAACTTTTCTTTTGGAATCCAGAATGAACATATTTTAGTTGATTGTATTTTGACTTGTTTATTTTGTTAATTGTTTTTAACAAGAATTTATATAGAATTTAATATTTCTCCCCTTGCTTTTCCTTTTTCTCTTGATTTGGGATTTTTCTGCATGAAGAAAATTATGTTTGAATAGTAATTGGATACTCCATTATTTTTCAGAATAGATTGATGCTTTATTTATTTATTTTTTAGTGCCCAACTGAAACCAAAGCAATATTTGGAGTTCATTTGAAAATAGTTGGAGACTGGACAGGTATGTAGAAAATATACTTTGGGGCTCAGACTTTAAGGCATTTTGAAACAAGTGTCTTCATTTGACAATGAAGAATAATCAACATATCTTATTCATCCATTCACTTATTAAGTAATTAATTAAAAATCATTTATTTATTCATTCATCCATTTAATTGTTTGTTAATGTATTCATTCATCCATTCCTTTATTTACTTATCCATCTATCCATCCATCTTTTTTCTATTTATCTATCCATCCATTTATCTTTCTGTACTTTTTCCCCTCCCCTAATTGTAGAGATCACAGGAGTGAGCCGTTATGCTTTGTAATATTGCATTCATCAACAAATGTTTATTGTCTAGATGCTTTGGTGGCTTCAAAGAAGTCATGAGATGTGGGGCTTGCCTTTGAACTTAGAATCTAGTTATATAACAACACAAGGTAGTTTATAATTATTTCTAGTCTAATGATCCAGATAAAAAGTTCTGTTGGGGGAGGAAGAAATATCAAAAGGAAAGGAAAGGGAATGGAATCCAAAAATACCTGTTTGAAGAGTAAGAATATCCAGGAGGAGTATGTCTGGTGGTGACAAGTTCAGTAGATAAGTCAATAAAGGCTAATGAATGAGAAACGGCCATTAGATTTGACAATTAAGACAATATTAATAATTTTGGAGAGAAAATTAGATTGAATAATGAGGTGGGAAGGTGGAATGGTGAGGGTTAAGGAGTGAGTGAGAGAAGAGGCAGTGGAGATAGTGAGTTTAGACAACTTTTCCCCAAGAGTTTGAGAGAGGGAGGAGAGATATAGGAGTATATCATAAGGGAATGTAATTACATGTATAAATGAACATATTGCCTTCTTACTTAGAATATAAATTGCTTGAGGTCAGGGTCTATTAAATCACTTTTTCCTTTGTATCCCCAATGCATTTCTTGGCACATGGTAGGTGCTTGTTGAGTTATTATTATTACCAAAAATACAGTTTTGAGCACATCAGTAAATAACAACTTATATTTCTACTTCTATCTCTTTACAAAACCTGATTCATTAGCCTTCCAAATGACAGAGAGCTAGATAACAAAACTGTACTATTACATAAAGCTCTAAGAGGTTTCTACCACTGCAAGAGATTCTGGAAGGTGACTTTCCTTTTCATGATGAGTTTCACATGTCCCCAGGTGAGGAAACCATGTGTAAGCTCAAGAACAAAGCCTTTCAGACCTGTTTTGAGGTCTTATCTCAGTTGCTTTTTCACATTTTCAACTGATAAAAAATATGTACAAGTTCTTTTGGGAGAAACAAGTCAGTTGGAGCTCATCTTCAAGGGTGATTTGAGATTTTCCTGGAGGCTTCAAACTTGGGAAACATCTGTCTCTTTGGCTTTTGTTCCAGCTCCTTTCCTGAAGCTTTCTTTGTTTCTTTATATGTTTCTTCTAATTTACCTACCATCACTGGCTTGGATTTCCTGAGCAGATATGAACAATGAAAAGCCAAAAACACATGTAAATCTACAGCACTGACCTTTGGGGGTAGTAATGGTCAACAGAAATATTTGTGATGCTTCAAAAGCTGGAGTATTAGAGAAGCAGTAATAGTATTTCTAGTGTAGGGGCAGCCAGGGGGGCACAAGACTTTGAAACAGGAAGACTTTAGTTCAGGCTTTTCTTAGTCACTTACTGGATGGCAAATCACTTAACATCCCTGTTAACTCATCTGTAAAGTGTGGGTAGTAGTAATGTCTACCTCACAAGGTAATCATGTAGATCAAATGAAGTAACATGAAGGAGCTTTGAAAATCTTAAAGTCCTATATAAATGCCAACTGGCTTTTACATATATATTATTTATTATTAATCATATATTTATTGTTATCCAAAAGTCAAATCAATGGGTAATGAGCTAGTACAGTGAATAGGGTGCTAGACCTGGAGTCAGGAAGACTCATCTTCCTGAGTTCAAATCTGGACTCAGACATTTTCCAGCTGTGTGACCTGAGGCAAGTCACTTAACTTAAGTTATTTAATTTGTAAAATAAGCTGAAGAAAGAAATGGCAAACCACTCTAGTATCTTTGCTAAGAAAATGCCAAATGGGGTCATGAAGACTTGGACCCAACTGAAAAATGACTAAACTACAGCTACCACTAAAAGCCAACAGAGAGCAATCTGAACTTTTTAATATAGGCTGAAATATAAAGAACAATAAAAATGCTTATATTAATAATTAGGTTCAAAAATATACGCAAATAATATCCTAAGCCAAAACAAATACAAAGAATATCAGATTATAAAAGTAAAGCTTCACAATATAGACTTTACTCTGCTCCCCTAGTCCTACCCTACTTTACTATATACCTAGTTACCTGCCAATAAATTATCTTGAAACAATGTTTTAATGTTATTCAATTCATAAAAGTATCAGTTGAAAAAAATTCTAGTAATTTCATTATCTCTCACTTTAGTTTGATCCTACTAGAGAATACTTAATGTCCTCATTTTCTTTAACATTTTTCTTATTGAAAAATGCCATGAAATAAAAAAACGTCTTGGAAACTGTATGATCCTACTCAAAATGTTGAATCTTAATTCAATGTTTTTCTATTAGATGCTACCTTGGTTGTTGAACATATACATCAGGCTTTTATTTGAAACACTCCATATAAATTCCAGGCATTATAATTCACAAGACATGTTTATTCATGTTACCTTTTAGATGTAACTGAATACTCTTTTGAAGACAGCAATTTACCTTTTAGTCTAATGCATAAAGGAATAGGTTTAAGGTGATGAAAAGAAATAGTGAATTTTACTTTAGACATTATGATTCACTAAATTTTTATCCTGATAAAATTTGTAAATGTAAGTGGACAAGATTATGTAGATATGCTTAAGATCAAAGAGACACAGTGATTCACAGTGTTGTTCTTTTAAGAAAGTCAAAGATTATGCAGTTAAGTTTGTAGGATTGTAGAATTTTAGAGCTAAAAGGGATTATATAGTATCTTGTTTTTCTACTTCAAATATTTATTTTTTGATTAAATATTTTTGATTAAATATTGGTTTTTCTCATAAATTGAATTTGAGTGATTAATATTTTGGATTTGATGAAGAACATTAAGATGACAAGTTTCATACCTGGGTTATCCTCTCATGTCCTGGAATAGCACTTGATGTAGCAAAATATTTTAGAAGCAACCACAGGACAAAAAGGGATTAGATTAAATTTTTTTAACCTTATTGTGATTTTTCTCTTGAATTTCCCATGCTAGTGGCATCCGAGAGCCTGGTTATCTCAGTTCCTCTCTTCTGTAGTCCTCTAATAAAGAGAATTACCCTATTGCTTTCCAGTAACCTGATGTGGGTGTGTGTCCATTTACACTCTCTTTCCTACTTTTGCTGGATGTAGGAACTTCTTCCTCTGGTCAGATTCTCTTTTTCTAGCTTAATTTATTCTCAGAGCCCAAAAAGTATGATTGTTAGTGTTAGTATGGGAAGAGAATAGTTGGTATGGCTTGTTTTACTGCAAAATGTACTGTATTTGAAATAAGAAGGCCCAAGTTTGAATCTGCCTCCATCATTTATTGGATGCATGACAGAAGAGGAATCCCAACTTCTCTGGGCCTCAGTTTTCCTCACATGCAAAATGGTATAAATAATTTCTCAAACCACTTCCCAAAGGTATTGTGAGAGAAGCCTTTTTACAAGGTGAAAATCACACCATACATCTTTTAAATTGTTATTGATATATATTTTATAATCACCTTTATTTCTTCTTTTTTACAGCAATAGTGTGTTTAATAAAATAAAGGACTTCCTTTTGAATGATGGGAAATTGGAAAGCAGTTTGGTATAAATTAAGATTTGTTCAGTAGATTTATCAGTTTTATTTCTGAATAAACCTCATCTCTATTCCTTCTCCACCACCACTACCACTACCCCTCCTCAGAAAGGGGGGGGAGCACTTCAGTAAAACTAACCAGCATATAAGCCAAGTCTGACAGTTTATGTGCTCCTACATTCAGTCCTCCCACACTGAAAAGAAGGAAGGGAGCAACTTTTATTCATTGTGAGCTCCTAATGTTGTAGTATAAGGTCAAGAGTACTGACTGAAATAGGAGTCAGGAGGCAAGGCTTCTAGTCTTGACTCCACCTCCAACTAGTCTTTTTGATGTCAGCTTTCTGTGGATTATATGATCTAAAGATTCCTTTCTGCCCCTGAATTCTCTGAATGAGCTTCTCTGCAAAGCTCTTAGATTTCCGATGTTACCTTCCTAATGACTCGGTTACTATCATGTAGAAGCTGACCCAACAATAGTCATGATGATGAATGTGAGAGCACTAAAAGGTTCCTAGAAGACTCAAAATAGAAATCATCACTGAAGTGCCATTCCATTCAATTCTCCAATGGTCAAGACACTGTGCAAGGCTCTGATGATACAAAGACAGAAATAACAATGCTACTACAGAGGGTTGTTGGGAGGGAAAAATATTTTGGAAGTTTTAAAGTACTAAATGTATTTCAGATATTTTCTTCTTTTTTGGCTTCAAAAGTTTCCTAGAATGCATTCTTCCATAAGCAAACTATTAACTTATCCTCTTAGGCAGTGGCTCTAATCCAGGCTCTTAGAGAGTGGCTCACTGAGCTCTGGGACTATCTTCTTGCAAGATAGAACATTATTCTAGGACATTATGTTAGTACCTTGTGGGGTTGGACTTTCAGTCACGTCTAACTCTTTGCAAACTCATTTGGGTTTTTTTTGGCAAAGATATTGGAGTGGTTTGCCATTTCCTTCTCCAGCTCATTTTACAGATGAGGACAGTGAGGCAGATAATGTTAAGTGACTTACCCAGGGTCACACAGCTAGCAAGTATCAGAGGCTGCATTTGAATTCAGGTCCTCCTGACTCCAGGGCCAGCATGCGATCTACTGTGCCACTTAGCTGTCCAATGCTAGTATTTTAGGGATTGTTAAATACCTTCTCTTTTGAGCCACTGCCTTTCAGATCAATTTCTATGTAA